GCCGTTCCCCACAGCATACTACAATGATAGTTTGCTTATTTTATGTATTATTAGTGGGCAAACACCCTGGCAAGGTCTCCGCAACCCATAGTTTGCTAGACGACTGCGAATCAAGTCTGATATTCTCTACAGACCATAGTGATAATCTTCGGATATAAACGTACATATTCTGTAGTTGATAATATTGCACTGCCTAGAGGCATGCAACTTTTGAGCACAAGAAGCAATACAATTGATGGATATGTGATGAGTATCATTGGCAAAGGAAAACATGGAAAGGAGAGGGAAATTCTTGTTAAGAAAAAGGAAAATCAACCTCAAACTTCAGCTTTTCTTCTTACCATAAAAACCAGTGCATTGATATCACAGTTGAGTAATGAGCATGAACCCAAACCAGAGCTTTGTTTCAGCCTAAAGGTAACATATCCGCTTTTGTAGATCAACCTCGTCGTCATGCACCATAAATGCATTTTGTTAATGTTACCAGAGTGGGATCAAGCGCGCCCCCCTCCTCCCTCTCTCTTGAAAAAAATCCTGGCTATTTCCGTTTATATGCATGATCGTAGACGTTTTGAACCAATGTAATACGCGAAACTTTCATGTTTGCATACTTTCAAACCTTCAGTACGTTCCGTCAAACCTTCAGTACGTTCCGAAAAAATTACTCATCCCGAAAATTTTCTGTGGCATTCCGACCGAAGAATTTTGAAATTCAATCGGATCACCAACTCTTGGAATTTTAAAACATAAATCCAATCAGATTCCGATAGAACCCAAATTTCTAAGATTACTGGTCACTATTGTAAAGGCGTCTCTCGAAAAATGCTATGCTTTGAATAATGCCATCAACTTTGAATGCCCCAACTTATACCGGAACTAATCTAATTGATGCCATTCAATTTCTTCTTATTTGAATTGTCATTCTTCTAATGAATTTTAGAACGGCCTCATGAAGGAATTTTTGTTTACACTTTCGCAAAGTGCATTCATATTCATGATTTGACTGTTTGAAGTGGTGAAGTGGAATTACACTTATTTTATGCGTTGATTGTAAAAGAATATGGTCGTTGTGAATCAACCAATGAACATTTTCTAAATGTTGTTATCCTCAAGATGTTTTCACTCTTAAAATTTGCGGGATTTAACCTTGAAGTTGATTTGGTCAAATTATTGTTAACTGCAAAATTTTCGGTTAAATGAATTCGGCAATCAACTCATTCTTCTTTTTTGAAATAGCTCATGCATTTTACACTTTCTAATACGGTTTTGTTCATTTGTGAAAGTTTAATAGCTATATAACTGGAAACTGAAGTCATCAAGTGAAGTTGAATAGAATTTAAACGATGAAATTGATCTCAACAACACCTGATTCGCATATACAATTGTCTCAAAATAAGTGCAGAAAAGTTCCCATTTCACATCCTCTCTAAGGATGATTGTGACTACTTCAATCGTTTTACTGAAAGAAAAAACTAAATTGCTTCATCAAAAGATGGCTTAAACAATACAGCTGTTGTTCGCTTCTTAAGCAAAGTTTCCATATTCATATAGATGTGTGCATGTTTCCAATAAGTACCTATCAAAAAATATCCGCAATTTTTCGGTATTCACCTTAGGTATCTAGATGTGTCACTGCACAATTGCAAGGACATAGTCGTCCGCAAATAATTTCAGAATGATAAATCATGATTGTTAACGTCCCTCAAATCTGAAAGACAACAAAAAGAAATTTATAGAATCGTTTACTGAAAACTGCATCGGTAGTTTGGATCGGATATTGAACAAATTTTGTTAAACGATAGTATTAGTCACTTTTATGATGCATTTCAGTGCTCAAAAATTGAATTGACGTTAAAAGCCTCGTTGAATTGACGTTAAACAAACCGTTAATGCTGCTGCTGTAGAAGAATGAGAGGATTTAAGCATTAATGTGATTTCGAGAGGCGATAATCAAATATTTGACTCATTGTCAGAAAAATTTCTGCCGAATACATTTCCAACAAGCAGTTGATTTCGTTGAATCTGAAACAACCAACCAGATTTTATCTCATCAAAGACATTTTTCTTTCTTCGAATCGTTTTATAGCTTGAAATCTCTTTGAAATCATAGGTAAATGAGTAAGCATTTAGTGCTGTAATGAATCACAGATGTTATTTACAATTATTTACTGATCAATTTTTTCGTTCATATATTCGAGTGGGTGGATCGTTAATAAGCCTGTGTTGTGTTGTGTTTTTATTCTCAACTCTTTATTCTGATACCACATGTGCTCATAAATGAAAATGTTTTATTATCCGTTCAATGAGTGCTTTGATGTATGTTATTGTCATACCGTTTTGTTTTTTCATACTTCACCATACCACCTTTAAATTCATCTTCTTCAAGTTCTTCACAAATTCATTAGAATCTCATTGGTGATGTTATTTATATGCTGTTATGGAGCTCTCGTTTGGTTCGTTTGAAGAAAGACATTCGAAATTAATTGTTGTCCAAGAAAATCTGCAAAATTTGAGGATCGAATTATGTAGCATGGAAAAACTAGGTAAATATTCTAAGTGGATACAGAATGAAAGAAGAAACCGTTTGAGAAATACATCAGCACCTCGCTAACACAATGCAAATTTGGTCATAACGCTCGTAACTTGTCGGCATTTTTCCGAGCCTCGCATTTTCCGATCTCTTTGCTCATCTGCAATCAAATGTTTTTCTTAGCGTTATCTATTCGCATCTCTCCCGTAGAAGTTTTAATCATTGATCATTTACCTGTTAATAAATATGAAATATCAAAAAAAAACGTATCGTAATTTATCAAATTAGAATGCAAAAGGCACACAATCAGTTTTCCCAATAAGTACAGTTGCAATTTTTCGCTATTTTGATAGCGCCTATATCAAGAATTCCGTGTCGGCTTCAGCACCAAGCGTAAACTACAGAAGAAGCTAACTCCGAAATTTTTCCAATGAATTTCAACCAGATCAAAATTTTAGCATCTAAAACTTCGAACATAGGCCATGAAAAGTACTTATATCTGTTTTATACTAATTATAGTTTAGTATTTATATCATTCATTTTAAGTCGTAGGCTAGTTTTTTTTCCAGAATGCTTATGCTGTAGGTTTTAGAATACTCGAAAAAAATTATTTTTTGAACATATGCATACATTCATTTATAGAGTAAACGATAGTTCATATACACAAATTAACTGATAACAATGTGTGGTTTGGTTCCGTTTATTCAGTTGCAATGAAATATTGTGTCATTCACCAAACAAAATGAAGAGAATATTGAAGTTTGGATGAAATTCACGGTGATTGACGGGGAAGTGAATGATTGTAATTATTCAGTTAAATGGCAGCAAATAGTAATGTTATGGTGGTGAAGCTCAAGCACTAGTGATACTGATAATATTTTATTTAATTGAAGATTGATCACTTGAACTCTAGATTAGAATTGTGGGTGCATGGTTTACGTGTGTCATTTGGCGATTTGTAATAATTAGCGATCTGTTTTTCATTTTGTACTATTCTTGACGTAAACAATTAATCACTTAACGTATTATAGTATAATATTTTTCAATCCTGATAAAAACAATAATAATACTAACGTCAGATAATGTCATTATAAGAGAAGAAATAAAGAATTGAATATGAAAATGTCATGAATTGGAATACAGCAGAAATTAACTCATTTGAAAAAAATCAAAATTTCATCGATTTGTATAATTTGTTTTTTTTTGCTATTTTTGCTATTCTCATTGCTATGCCTGATAATGATAACAGTAATGATAACAATATTTATAATGATAATATTCAAAGTGGTATCATAATAATAATAGTGATAATAATAATAGTCTTGATTAATAAGGAAAAATCACGTTTGCGCAGTCTGTAATGCATGTTCAGTTGCAACGTTCGGCATCAGGAAAGGAATGATGATAATGTTGTTACCTCAGCAGTAAATAATTTTTTGCTTCAGACGGGTCGCCATGTCGATGATCTCTTTGTCGATCTTTCGGATGGATTCAATCTTATCGCTTTACTTGAAGCACTTTCCAATGAACGATTAGTAAGTGAAATTAGTGTTTCTAAAAGTTACCTCTTTCCGCGCGTTTACAATTGATTCGGTTTTTCTTCATTCAATATCTGAATTGCGAAAATGATTTTAAAAAACGCATCACTGAAGGAAAAATTTTTAATCGAATTTTGAATAATCAGGTAAATAAATTGATGGAAATTGTTCTGAGTTTAGAAAGCGTCATGAAAATCAACTTTATGTTAGGTTAAGAGTTTGCAAAGTAGACCCGAACATCAATCTGAATCTACAGTCGAATTTTTATTCGTCGTAAGTGAGACTGATTATTTAATAATCTCCTTTGAAATTGTCCATATAAATCTTTTACCATTGTTAACGAAAACGTTTTGATCGTTGTTCTGAAGCTGAAATTTGCCTGAATCATTGTTCACTTATGCATTTTAATTGCGTTTAAATTCGAATATTAAAACGAGTGAATCATTTTATCCACATGAACGTATACGAATGTCTCACAAACAAGTTGATATTTTTTTCAGCCACACGAGAATGGTTTTACACGATTTCATCGAATACAGAATGTGCAATACTGTCTTGATTTCTTAAGGAAGAAAAATGTTCGTTCGTTCTCTTTTCCTTCATTTGATTTTTGAAAATATTCATCATTTGCGGAATCTTTTAAGTTTTCATACTTGTTTAAGCAAGAAAAAAAATCTGTCGTTCTTTGATTCAAGTTTTAATACTTGTTCCCATATGTTGCTCACAAAAGAGATGTTGGTGTTTTTCATCCATATCACAGACAGCAACATTTTTGTTTTTTGTTAGATAGATATGTTGAAATGTTCGAAACTGTCTCTGAAAAGGGAAAGCAATTCTGACACTTTCAGTTAGTAACTGTCACATTTATGCTTACTTTTTCTTTGCATGATGAAGAATTTTACAGTGATTCATCAGTGATTCACTTCATTTAGGTAAGGACGGTTAATATTCGCCCTGAAGATATCGTTGAAGGAAATTCGAAATTAACTCTTGGACTCATTTGGACGATCATTCTCAATTTCCAAGTCTCTGTCATCAAGCTTAGACAACTCGACAGTTCAACTTGTCAGGTTTGTTTGCTTTTATCATCGTGTTATTAAGTTTAACTCTTAACTGCATTCATTTTCTTTTTGAAATTCGTGAAAAATCATTCTTCGTAAATCAACTGATGTATATTCAATACTTCTACCATCTCTGCACTGATGGGACCACATTTCTTCTTGTGCGCTAGTTCCGACAAATTTGTATATAT